AATGTGTGGTTAAAATTAATCGTTGACTTTAATTTAGATTTTAATCCGCACGAAATAGGTATATATTTCAAAATGATATATGTTACGTTATATTAAAGTTTCAGGCTGAAATAAAAGATTTATCTGAAGTTATTTGACACAATGTTATTGCGATTACGTAATAACTAACTAGTTATATACTTATATATTAATAGGAGTAGTCAAAGGTGATTCATTTTATTATATAATTTTTTTTAAAAATAAATGCAAAGAATATTCTTAAAAAATTGGTAACTTCGTCTAATGAAAATCAAAATAAATATTGCGACTACTTTTCAAAGGTCCACAATTAATTTCTAAAAGTGAAAATTACACTTTATACCTCATTTTCTTTAAAGTTCAAATACACTCTCTTTTTAGAATCATCAAACTCCTGTTTGACGGACTTTTTAAATAGACAATAGAGTTTTTGATAATAAATTTTTGGAGAACATGCTATTAAAAAGTAGTATTTTTTTTTTCGTGTAAAAATATTTTATTGTGTAAACGTGTGGTTGAAAATAAGTATGTGAAAAAAAAAGATTTTTTTTGAAAAAAATGGTGTCAAATAGGGGTTACCTCTGAATTTAGGACCGTAGAACTGACACATAGGAGAAGACACATCGATCGTTAAGATGAGGTCATGTGTCTTTCATCCAACTATAGTTTTTTCATCTTTTTACTATAAAAGCTCACACACAGAGTCATAAAAGTAAATATACACTTTCAATCGTAATACTGTCCACTTTTATTGTTTCCTATCTAAACTTGTTGTCCATACACATACTCGTGGCTCACGTTTTCTATTCATCTCACACCCAAATATACACGCTAATTTATTTAATCGTAGGAGTGCTCATGGTTGCCTTCCCCACCATCAAAGAAGGTCACGTGCTTCTAACTAGTGGTGGCAAATGGCAATCGGCTTGACCCATCTACCCATGAGCTCGTCAGCTGCCGTGCCGAGCTGAGCTGAGCTCACGAGCCGCTCGTCAAATTGTTTTTTTAGTTTTTTTTCTCACATTTTTTATGAGCCAGGACAAGACATGTTGTAAAGGAATTACATATTCATCAATCGTCCATGACAAGGAATTACACACAGTTACATTTTTTGATTTCCCAACACATTTTCATATCACTACTCAAATTGTGTCATATAGGGAGAAATGTCATCCATGACGCGAAGCAAGATGTACACATAGCTTAATATTTGGACTATTTACATAAAACTGTAAAAAGTAATATTATATTTGATATTTTCATTAACTTTCTTTTATTAGTTGATTTATAACATTTAATTATAATGAATAAATACATTTGTTATATTATTATCTTTATGTAAAGAATGAATCATGTGTTACAACTAGATATATTGTGTCAATTAGTATCGACTAAGAGGTAAGGACTAAGCTATTTCTATCATGTTATTACATTGTAATTATTAGAAGTGTAGAACTTTGGTTTGTTCTGATACTAACATTCATATTTTAACGTGAAACTTTAAATTAATATTTATGACATAACTAATTCGATAATCGATATATGTTTTTTTTTATTTGTTAAATCGTGATTTTAAATGAGCCAAACTGAAAAAAAAAAAATTGATTTAATTTAGAAATCATCCAAATCAGTCCGTGTTTACTCCTATACATTTGCAAAAGTTTTTAAAAATGGACATTTTCAAATCTCAACTCCAATTTTCCTAAAACATATGCCCGCAGCCGACAACTTTGATTCCTTTGTTTAACACGCGGAGCCCAATTTTACCCTAAACCTATCAAAGTGAAATTTCAAAACAAAGATTGCAATAATCATACTCCTCAAGTTAGCTTGATAACATGGTTAACATTAGTTAATAATTCCTTTTTTTTTTCCTCGTACTGTTACACATTTGTTTTCAATATTTTTAAATTTAAAACATTAATATTTAATGCAAATTGGGAACCTTTTTTCCTGTACACATGTTTGTAATA